ATAAGATGTACTTGTAATTATAAATGGATTTACTTGTAATTTCATGACTTTATATAGCCATCTTCAATTAATTGTAGATTTTTTTTTCGGTATTTTACTCGAGGTGATATGTCCATTGCAAATGGAGCTGGAAGAGTCATTGTTGACAATTCTTCTGGCATAGTGCTAATAATGGACTAGATCAAAATGCCTCAATTAAATTCTAGTGCTTCTTCTATTAGTTAAGTCTCTAGAAAAAAAAAATATACCAAACGACGCAATGCACTTTGGGTCGCTATGGAAACAGCCTCCTTGTATAATTACAAGAGTAAGGTCTGCGTACAACTAACCCCCAGACCCCAACCCGTTTGGGAATATACGGGTATGTTGTTGTTGATGTTGTTGTTGTTGTAGTATTTTATTCGAGGTGATTGGGGCTGAATAGAGAGAAGGTTTCGAGACGTTTAGACCTGAAGGTCCCTTTAATGAGCAGCCCTACTCTATACTCGATACTCTATTACTTCTATTCTTCCAGGAGAATTGCTTACTTCTATTCTTCCAAACCTCTAGTCAAGACAGCAATATCATTCTAGTTCACAATTCATCAGAATAAGCTACTTGAATAAATACTGCTATCAATTTAGTTCACAATTAAGCAATTAGACAGAAAATCTAAACAATCCAGTCAATGAAGAAGAGGCCCAATTTCAACTGATTCATAATCTCCTAAAAAAAAAAAAGAAAAAAATGTTACCTTTGGAGTCGAGGGCCGAGGAGCTGCGGAGCTGGGATGTAAGGTACCGAGAGTCGAGGAGCAGGGTCTTTGGAGGTGGAGGATTCGAAGAGCGGGGAATTGGGGAGTGCCGACGAGATGCGTGAGCCGAGCAGGAATCGTCTGACCGGGAGGAGATTGGTTGTGAGGAGGGTGAGGTGGAGCTGTGGAGGCGGCGGAGTTCCTACTCTCGCCGGCCTGTGGTGGAGCCGTGAAGGTGCAGTGGACGCGGCGGAAGGAGTTGGAAACTTATTTTTCTGCGCCACAATCTTTTTTTTTTTTTCTCGTGTAAAAATTATTCTTGTACTTCGTAATCCTATTTGGTGAAAAGAATCATGTTTCGTAATTAGGTTTTGACAAATAATATTGATATATTAATAATTAATAATTTAGGTTTGAACATCTCATTAATTTTATTTATCTAACTTAGATATTTTAATATCGCTTGTACTAATGTAACCCTTTAATTATTTGTAATTTTACATAATGAGGCACTAATATATCCTGACTTTGATTTGTTTCCTTCAATTAGTTATTGAATTGTAAATGTATTTTAAAAGTTGATAACTTTTGTATTTCTTACCGGTTTTACGTATATTATATATCAAATTTAATCATCTTTTGGTGATCTTCGATTTGACATTCATATTGTATATATGAATTAAATAAATTACAATTACCTTTATAATAATAAAAAATAATAATATTTATTAAAATTCATTAGAAAAATAAAATTATTTATCAATTGATAAATTATTTTTAATTAGTTATATGTTGTAAGTTAAAAAATTCTTATAATATAATGCAGGTAAGTCGCACAAATAAAAAGTGTCATACAAAATATATAATAATATATATATTTTTGTAAAAGGTATTTAAAATTTCAACTACTTTTTCTCATTAATTTTATATTTTAAGAAAAAAAATAGCAAGCACCCATGTAATACACTGGTGTTTACTAGTATTAATAATAATTATAATATCGAGTTCAAGTCACCCAATGAAAGAAGTGGGGAACCACTATTGATCCTCTCTTAAAAGAGCAAGAAAAAATATTATAAATTAAAAATGAGGATAAATGATATTAAATAATAATTATAAATTACCGATGTGGGGTTAACATTCATATAATTTACGGTATATCAGTTTATTATAAACAATATAAAATTAACTTGTTCAAGAAAACATAAAATTTGTATGTTTAAACAATTAAAAAATCATAAATTATTATATTAACATATGTAAAATTATCTAAAATTTTCTATTAAAAGATGTGAAGTCACCTACAACTTTTATAAACTACTTCGTAAAGAAAATATAACTAAAAATATTAAAGTTTACATTTGTATGAAAGATGTTTTCTGAATATGACAAGATAAAATATTATATAAAAGTATCTAAAATATTATAAGCCTAAATAAATACATTATAAAGTTTTTGAAAAAAAAAATTACCTAGTATATATAGAATAAATATTGACATGATGCTGAAAACTTCGATGATACTACCGTACATAAAAATTTGAGTATACAAGATTTCAATATTATTATTATTATTATTATTATTATTATTATTATTATTATTATTATTATTATTATTATTATTATTATTATTATTATTCTTTTGGGTAATTTTAGTACAAAAGATTTCAAATTTATATTATTATTCTTTTAAGTAATTTGAGTACAAAAAATTTCAAAATTATTATTATTTTTTAGTTACTATAAAAATTATTATTATTATTCCTATAAATAATTTGAGTACAGAAGATTTTAAAATTATTATTATATTTTAGTTATTGTAAAAAAAAATTGTACGCATAAAATTCCACGCTTTATGCAGATTATCAATTTAATATAAATAAAATGGGATTTATTTTATATTGAATGGAGACTAAGGGAATTTTGAAATATATATATATATTCAAAATTATCCTCTTGATTTTTGAAACTATGCATTTGTAATTTGACTTAATTATTGTAAAATTTTAAACCTTATGGAAAAAAATAACAGAGATGAATTTCAATTGATTTGAAATTCTTAAACCATTTTGAATTTCAACCAAAAAAAATGAATTCATTATGATTTTGTAATTTCCAAGAGGTTTGTTAATTTTAAAGTGGCACAAAATCTTTTATTTAAGGTTATCCGTCCAAGGATAGATGTATATGATTAGATATTTTTTAAATCCAATTTGAACAAAAACCTTTATATTAGGAAGAGATTTTTAATTAATCCCAATTTTATACAACTAAAATGATAAGGGATTTTGAATTTTATATTTTCAATACAAGTTATAAGGTAAATTTTTTGGTAATCTGATTGTTTAGAATAAAAAATACAATCGAATTTTTTAAATCAAATATGAGAAAGGATTAAATTTCAAATTATATTCAATAATCGAAATTTCTAATACATAATGGAACCAAATCCACCAATTTAGGCTGCAATGTAATTCATGATTTTCTGCTATCAAAAATATTTATTTTTTAAAATGAAATCACCCGCAACTTTAGGTAGACATGGTCATGGGTCACCCGGCCCGGACTCGGCACGAAACCGGCACGGACCCGGCCCAGTCAAACCCGTTGACCACGGGTCCAGGCCCGACACGGATTTCAAACGGGCCGGTCAAGGGTCATGTTTTTTTCGACCTTGACCCGGCGGGCCGGGCCGGGTCTTTGTCGGCACGAAAAAATACATTGCTTTTGAATTTTTTTTCTTTTTTTTTTAACTTTTTTATGTGGTCGGGTCCAAACCCGGGTCGGGCCCCGCCCGGTCCGCCGGGTCATGGAACCGGCACGACCCTAGGTCCGTGCCGGTTCAGGGTCGCCGAAACCCAACCCGATGGCCCGGTGGGCAGGGCCGGGTCGTGACCCGGCCCGGTTTTTTGCCATGTCTAACTTTAGGAATTGGTATTTTTTTAAAAAAAAATAAAGAATTCATTAATTTAATGGTATTAGCCGATTTGATGTTAAAAAGACTTCAAATTATTTGCAAATACTAAAGTTATTCTTTATTATTAAACTAGCCGTAATTTTTTTTTTTATAAAAAAAAGTATGCAACTTGGTAATCTTATTTCTATTAAAAAAATTCTTTAATTTGTGAAAATAAAAGTTACAACCAGTTCTTGCGCAAATAAAATATTGATGATTTCATAATAGAGCAGCTTTGTGTTTTTTTATATACAAAAAAATATAAAAAGAATAGCATAAAAATATTGTATATTTTGATTACTAAATGAACTGTAATTTATTTTTATTAAAAAATAAAAGCCTCCATTTAAAACAATTGTAGTAGCCGAAATGATGGTAAAGAAAGCCTCCATAAAATTATGGTATATTCTTATTTTTTGTAAATACTAACTTAAGTTTATATTATTAAATTAGGCGTAATTTATTTTTTTAATAAAATAAAATTTGCAATGTGTACACGATTATATGTTAAAGAAAGTTTTTTTTTTTTATTTGTGAAAATGAAAAAAGAACAACCTAATTTTGTGCAAAAATAAATATTAAATAACAAACTCCACTTAACAAACTTCACATTTAAATGCATCAATTAAGGATGAAGTTTGTAAATTAAAATAATAAAATAAAAATTTGCTATTAATAGCATGCAATTAATGGTCAACCATGTTTGACCATAATTTGACTTGAAATTTTTGAAAAATGGTAATTCTTATTATATATACAGACATCAAAAACCTATTTTTATGCTTTTTTTTTTCTTTTTTAATATAATTTTTTTTTTGTGTAGAGTTCATCACTATGTTACTATGTTTTTTGTTTATATATAATGTTTTCATGTAATTTTGTATAACATTTTTATATATTATTATAAACTGCTAATTTATTTATAATTATATTTTAAAATTATTTCCTGTAGATATCCTCCCTATATATAATTCCAGAATGCGCTGAGCCTACGTGGCTGCTTCTGGTGCTTCGGAATCCTATTTGACGAAGAATCATGCTTCGTAATTAGGTTTGGATAAATAATATTGATATATTAATAATTAATAATCTAGGTT